CATATAAAACAAATAGATGGTATATCTATGCTTTCTCTTTGTTTTGTTTTGCACGTCAATTCATCTCCCTTTCTTTTTTGGAATTTTTGGCTCGTGTTATTTTGTTTTTGCTGGTTTGCTTAAAATTTCATTAATCACAATTACATGACCAACAACTCTTGTCCTCCTAACTTTCAGAAGAATTTATTGAATCCATACAATGAATTCGAAAGTCTTATTCAGTGTGGCTATTGAAAACTGGCTACTATAGGCCATAGGCAACATAAGGTTCGTATAGGCGAATTAATTCTCGGAAAGCTGGAAATGGTTTTAATTTTTTCATTTAGGTGTAAAAAGGTTTTTTTTAAAGTTTGCACTAATTTATGATGATGATGATTTGATGTTACTGGGAGTAGTCCATGCTTAGTGATCTACCAACCCCATTGAACTGCATTCATCCAATGATCATTCCACAAATTAATTTGTAGGAAAGCCCTCATTGCATGCAATCTAGCAGCTTCTTCAGTTGGAGAAGTGTAGCCAAATTAATATTATTTTGTACTAGGGATTTCACCTGCATTATAGCTCGTGACTCATTGTGCCCCCAGGTACTTATTCTTGAAACAGGGGAGCGGAGTTCTCAGGAGAACCAGTGTTCCTTCTTTGTTACTTATTGTATTACCATTTGCATATCATTGAGAAAGACGGAACACTCGTTCTCCTGGGAACGCTGCTCCCCTGTTTTAAGGATAAGAACCCTGAAGTTTTCATTTCAGGTCCACTCCCTTAGTAAAACTTAGGATGTCCCTGATATTCGTTTTCAGGATTTCCTTTGGTTTCGGATACTGTGCGACAAAGTGCCGCTGTGTTTGCCATCTAAGGTTAGGGCATTGACATTGAGTCTTCTGCTAGCTTCATTGTGTTGAGGTGTTTTCTGAGAGGGTAGTGTCCTGTCAACAATCCAACCACATCTCTCAATTGTCTCCTGCTTAAGCTAAGCAGTTCTGAGTCAGGAAGTTCCATCCAGGGTTTTTTGTGTTACCCCTATAAAAACCAGTAGGTATTTAAGCTGCGTGACCTTGAACTTTAAAAAAAAATTGGCTGCGGCGCAATTCATTCACAACAGCCCCCAAAATAAAATACTGATCTGGCAGGCCGGGCCGGGAGAATGTAACATCACACCTGGAACATCCTGGACGTCCCTGTCTTCCAACCCGTAAACGTTTGTAGGTAGGAAATTGACAGAACGACCTACGAAAAGGGGTTGCTTTGAGTCGGGATAAGAAAACAACGAGTCGGCCAATGATTGTTTTTTTGTTGTTGAAAAATAGTTGAATTGTTTGGTTTTCATGAATTTAATAGCAGTTTCAGATTGTAAAGATGTGTATGGTAAAAAGTTAGTGTCCAGCAATATAATAAGAATTTTATTAACAGTATTCTGTTTTCCAGCGACCCTCCACCCAAACAACAAAACTGAATGAAGTGCTTGTTACACAGGTAAACGTCATTGCAGAAAAAAGTCTTAAGCCGAGTACCTTCATCGTATTGCCAGAAGCACTAACTATCTTATTGGTAGTATCACCAGATAGGTGTTCATGGACCTGATTGTGATAAAACAGCCTTTACTACTCCTCTCGGAACTTATCGTTTCAATAGGATGCCGTTTGGACTGAAAAATGCACCTGGAACTTTTCAGCCCTTGATCGATCAGTTTCGACGTGGACTCAGTAACGTATTAGTGCTAGCGTACCTAGACGATATCTGTGTGCTCTCCAGGACTTTGGAGGAACATATAGAGGACTTAAAACTCGCATTTTCACGTCTCCGCCAATTCAATTTATGAGCCAAACGTGAAAAATGCAATTTTGCGTGTAAGATTGTTAAATACCTTGGTCATTTGATCACTCCTGATGGAATTTCCGTAAATCCGGAAAAAGTGGAAGCAATTGCGAATATGCCTACGTCCCGTGACGTGAAGCAAGTGCTTTCGTTCTTGCAGTCGTGTAGCTGGTGTCGTCACTTTGTGAAGGACTTTGCCGCCATTTTACGTCCATTGAGTGACTTAACTAAGAAAAACGCACCATGGCAATGTGAACAGCATCAGAACTCGTTTGATACTTTCAAAAATAAACTTATCACAGCCCCAATTTTGCAACAAAATGACGAAACAAAACCATACCTATTGAAGACAGATGCCAGTGGATATGCATTAGGAGCCGTACTTTTACAAGGCGATGAACATCCCATTGAGTATGCCAGTAGAATACTCACTGCATGCGAGAAGAACTACTCGACGTCCGAGCGCGAAGCACGTGCTGTTGCATGGGCGCTTGACAAGTTCAGAGGATACATCGAAGGAATGCCCATAACTGTGCAAACCGACCATCAGCCAACTGGTAGGTTAGCCAGGTGGGCTTTTCAAGTTCAAAGTTACGACCTGAGGATAGAATATTTACCTGGTAAAAGGAATGTAGTAGCAGATATGTTATTCAGGCCTCCATGCAATCACGAGACCAAGGAATTTTGTGAAATTTGCACCGTAACGATAGAAATGCCGAGACGATCAGCATCAGACATCCGAAATGAGCAATTGAAGCACCTTGATTTGGAAATAATTATTGAAGGTTTCGAAAACAGGTTAAGTGATGAATTTTCCAAATGGACAAGATCGAGGGTATATCATGGTCTACGGTAATCCATACAGATGGCGTTATGTCCAGCTCATTTCTGCAAGAGGCTCCAATTCCTCAAGGGGACAACACTGTCACCAGTGGGCCAACTGACACCCAGAAAAATAGCTTACTTCGGCAGAAGTCTACGCTTCTTGGAGACAATTTAGGATGTAGCGCCACGTACAAAATATCTGCTGAGTGGCTGGAAAGCCGAAACAACTCCACTCACAATCTACAACACCCACATAGGAAGAAGGAAATGCTCCGGGGTACATAGGGAGATTTAAATCAAATGTCAAAAACCCAAGAAAGGACAGATCTAATATCCAGGTAATCAAACCAAAACATAAAACACTATAAGGGTCTATTACAAAAAAGTGGACCAGAATATACCTATATTAGATTCTCTAAGACATATTGAAGTATATGGAGAAGTAGTTGAGATATCTGAATAAACAGTAAAAAAGACTGTCAAGAACCTTAACTCAGATAAAGCTAGCGACCCAGAGGGGATATACCTACTGCGAAATGCTGGAATGGGGAAATGAGAAGCTCATAGAAGGTCTCACATGTATTATCAATAGATACCTAAATGGACATCCTGGACTGGACTTCAAAAACTATCGGGGCATATCAGTCACAAGCATACTAACCAGACTATACGGGCAATTTCGCCTCATAATTCAAGTAACTCTTTTTCAAGGCCTCATCAACTTTTATCCATTTATTATCTCAAACCAATAACAATCTTGGTACCATCTATATATTGAAAAAACTTATAAATTACTTTACCGCCGTAGGGGGCGGTCATTATGGCGAAAGCTGAAAGAATAAATACCAACGTTGTCGAATTTTTGTTAAAAAAGGTCATCGATATTACATTATACATCATTTATGTAAATCGTTTTTGCCAAAACAAGTTTCAAATTTTTGGTAAAAGTGTATGTTGCCAATTTTCGTTATCTTTTCACCAATTACAGATCGAAATCAAACACCGATAAAGATCCAATAAAATCAATTCAAAAACCTTGAGTTTTACAAGCAAAGACGCACTACTAAACTAATTTCTCGCTTGAAGTAGCGTTAAACGAATTGTGCCTCAAAACCGTGAAATTACCTTATTCTTCGTTCTTCGACTTGAAATATTTTGTCTGTCATATTTGGATTTATTGACCTTAAATGCACACATCCTTCGAGTAATTGTTTTTTTGTAGACACTAAACTTCAAAATATTGTTTTTCAATAAAATTTTATGGACGAAATTAGAGTTGTTCTATTTTTAGCACACTATCTTGAAAACCCCAACATTTATTGGTACTAATTTCTACTGCATACTAAAAAATATTGAAGTAAAATATTGATTCAAGTACGTCACAAATTAGCAAGATTATGTAGCCTGGGATACCGTAAACAGAATTTAGAAAGGATGAAGCTAAGAGACACAGAAATTGATGAATATTTCTTGATCCGAGAGAAATGATTGCTCAATGATCAACGAATTGGAGTCTTGGAAATGTACACATTTTGTTGAGTTTTCCCTGTCATTTAATTTCTGGCCTGCAAACTTTGAGCTCAGCACAAAAAGACTGTCACATATTATCTTATAAATATGTTCTTATAACCCTTGATGTCATTATTCATTATATGCCATGCATGCCTTTTCATATTCATATTTTCCTCATTAAAAGCTGACCATGAAAATTACCATACATTATTTTCCATATGTCTAGTACACCATCCTTAGTAAACCTATTAACGACAATAATAAATAAAAGCGTATGAGCAAACAGAACAGAAAAAAAAAAACAACTAATCAATAATCAGTCGATAATTTCAACATTGAACATCTTTATCATAATAAATGTATAAACATAAAAGTACCTTGCAGGAAAAGTACCGGTACCATATTTGTAAAGGCGCTCTTCAATGTTGTTGGTACTTCCCACCTACAATGCAATACAAATTGTGGTTTCGATGGCCTTATTTTGCTGCATATTTATTAGAAAAAGAAACACCCTGTAAAATAACTGCCACCTAATGAAAAATTCCATCTGTAATAATTAAAAAAACTGGTTCTTAATTTGACTAATTTAATAGTTCAAGCTGCTCATTATCATGGAGCAATTTTCATTTGGTTTTTAATTAGTCAAAGGTCAAAAACGATTAGTTTGAATTAAGAAATATTTATGTTTTGGCGAAAAATCATGGGATTTTGTAAAAAAAGACGCCGATTAATGACAGAACCGATACAAATTGCTTCCTTATACGTACAAACATGTTTATTTTGTTAATGGTTATTTATATTTCATTTTTCTTGTATTTATCTATTTGTTTTAAAATGAGGAAGTACAAGATTCTAGGGCACAACGCTAAGAGTATAATGTGAAAGGAAATATTTTGCCATTTTTAAATTAATTATTTATTAAATTCAGTGAATTATGAATTGAGAATTTCCATATTAGGTGACAAATGTGTTCTTGTTTATCTTGCCTTTTGACGTCTTCAAAGTTTTTTTTTTTTGTTAAATTTGTACTGGAATTTGTTGCAAAGTGAATGAATTTGACTTTTTATCTCCTGCAAGAACCTTGGTCAAATAAGGGTCGCGTGGAGTACTGTCGGAGATATGGATGGCAACTCATTATTGGTAGACCTCAGATGGTTTCCAAAAATTTCCTGAAAATATTCCATCAAACAACTCATACATTATCGAGCAAATTAACTTGCAATCAACTTGATTAGTTATAGGTATCTTAAAATATCACTCCTTTGCATATAATATGCACATACCTACAATATTTGCTTAATTTCCTAACTCAATCAACCATGATAAATAATCAACTAACATCGACAAATTCATTGTGTAAATTTAAGGAATTAATTGCTTTTACATATAAACGCGATTTTGACGCAGATCTAACACATTTCACATAGGTAATATCTGCATAAATACTTCGTGTGTTGGATATTGTGAAACGAACTTATTAGGTATTTCTTAATATGCCAATGCTGTGTTTATAGCGGTTTTGTAACCATTCTGTTAGAGGTTATCGGCCACTGACGACGGTTAAAGGTTCTCGTTCATGTTGGTTTTGGACGATAAAATTATAGGAATTTGTTTCTAATTGAATAAAATCGACACGCGAAAAAGGAAATCTTGGTTAAACGTTTGGTCAATGTTATGGTTATCTTTACTAATGACAACGTTAATTGTGGTAATGGTATTTCATAAATATATGAGATTATAGTTAGTGTATGAAGTTAAACTCCATTTTCAGCCTCTTATTGTTTTATACCAGTCCTGGTTGACTTCTCCATCACTTTTTTGGTCACGTTCATCCTTAATGTTCTCATTTTGCTATAGGCATTTTCGGTGAATTTTTTCCTGTATACCTTCACCTTAAAAGTCGATCTTTACCAGGTCTATTTTCTGGAATAGTTTCTTTTCCCGTCTATAGCAATCAATTAATATTTAGGAAGTAGCAGTGGAGTTTTAGACACAGAACTTTGGAAGGGTTTAATGTAATGTTTAAGTAAAGCAAACTTCTTTCTGGATTTGGATGAGAGTGTCCCATGACAGGTCAAGGCACTTAGGCTCCATTGGACCCCTTGTGCGACCTTCCAGCCTAATGTTTTGAAGAAGGCGGCAGATGTTGAAAGACGACACCAGAAGTCCGAGGAATGCTCGGACGAATGCAACAATCGTTGTTATAGTTTTAGTTATGAAGAGTTGAACTGCCAAAACATTTTCAAAGAAAAAACCATTAAGCTCCTGAAGGTTTTAGAGGATAAAATAAGCCGCATCTTCAGTATTGTCGACAAAATTTGGGAGATGACGGTGACCCAAGGATCCAACGAGACCGAAATGGAAGCTGAAATGGTGGCAGTAGAGGTTTTTAGGGAGAAGATTATAGATAACAGGAATAAGGTAGGTAGGAATAAGGCTGGGGAGGATTTCGCAAGATAGATGAAGATGAAAGTATAGATATAGAATATAAATTTGAGTATATATTGCAATCGACCGAAGAAAATTCTCCTGCTAGAGCTTGGATTGGAAGTTATCCACCTTCAGTCGAAAATTATAAGAAAACCTCAGAAGAATTCAAAGCAAGATTTGGTAGAGATGAGTTGTTGATTGAAGTATATGTCCACGAGCTATTAAATTTAGTTCTTAGGCAAGCTACGGGTAAATCTAACATCTCAGTTTCTTTTTTATACGACAGCTTGGAGTCACAATTACGAAATTTAGAAACATTAGGGGTGACTACAGACAAATACACTGCAATGTTGTATCCGCTAGTAGAGTCTGCTTCACCAGAAGACATTATAAGGGTCTGGTAAAGACACACAAGTACAAATCAATTTAGTAGAAACACTTATCTTTTAAATAGTTCACTAGATTTTTTGAAACAAATAGACTGGAAGGAAATACAAAAATTCTTTCCAATGTGAAGAATAAAATGGAATTTCATCATGGTGGGAGAGAGTAGTGCGTATGATTAAGGAATTGCTTGGAAGAAATTTGGGAAAAAGATGTCTTGCTTATCATGAACTATATACAGTTTTATGTGATTGTAAAGCTGTAGTAAAATGCTCGGCCTCTTACAATGAAAATCATACCAATGGAGATTTGACACCAATACCATTGGACTCATTTTTGAAAAGTTTAGTCAGCAGTGAGATTATCTGTGGTGAGATACCCTATTTAGAGAATTAGTTTAAAGAAACGTTTAAATTACCTACCTTCAAAATATTAAAGATGCATTAAGAAAACGATTTAGAAATGAATATCTAGCTACATTGGTGCAGTCTAAGAGGGAAAACACACAAAAATTAAAGTTGGAGAAGTTGTCTTAATTCAAGCCGAAAATTTGAAGAGAACAATGTGGCTTATGGGAAAAATTATAGAAGTTTACCCAGGACCAGATCGAGTGATTAGAGTTGTGAAAGTAGAAAACGTCTAATGAAACTCTCATCAGAAGATCAATACAACGCATACATAGATTTGAAATTTTGACTGAATGTTTAACACCTGCAACTTCAGAAAAAAACCCAGATCAAAACGAGATTGTTATGCCTCCAAAAATCTATTCATGCTTTGACACCCCAAACCTTGAATAAGAAGAAAAATTAAAATACCGACGAAGAGAAGACCGTTCAACAAGGAAAATCAATCAATCAATCAAAAGTTTTAAACCTACTGATACCATCCAACCAACAAGAAGAAGCACGAGGGAGATAAAGAAATCCTTAAGATACCAGTAACCCAAATAGAAGTTTTTGAAGGCGATTTTCAGCCTGGAATGATTATTTATCGGTAAATACTGTGGTTATTCTTTTGGTTGATAACTTTGACAGCCAAGTGTGACGTCATAGCCCCCCACCACTCAATAATCATAACCCAAGAAACTAGACCCCTGAAATGATTTGGTTATAGCTTATTTGTATTTTCGTTTCAACAATGGTTTCTTGTTTAGGTACAAAAAATAGAGCCGAATCTCTCGTTAGTCTTTTCTTTGTGGATGATCTTAACCTCGGTCTAAACATGGTGAGTTGCAGTGAGTGTATACTTCTCATTCCATTGTGCGAAGCCACAACACAACTGCAAAATCACCAATCCCCAAAATAATAACAATAACATCAAAAGATTAACCCAAGTCCAAAGATGTGTTATAATCGGTTATAAGTGGTAAATACCCAAAGCAAATCAGCTGATCTGCGTGTGTTCTGTGTTCTAGGTGCTTCGCACTCTGAATGCAATTAGGCACTAGCTGACGTCACACACACAACCTCTCAACGACATTTTTGTTCCCCTATCGAAAGTGACGTTTGACGTAATAGATAGCGCCTGCGTGTAAAAATAGATCTTCAAACGCTTTGTTTGTCCCCTCATTGAAAGTCGAATGTGAGGTTGTGTATGACGTCAGCTAGTGCCTAATTACAATAGTTGTTATAGTTTTAGTTTTAGGCACTAGCTGACATCACGCACATAACCTCACTGTCGATGAGGGGACAGAAAAAGCGTTTAAGGACCATTTACACAAAGGCGTTAACTATCACGTATCACGTCACAAATCACATAACGTCACTATGATACGGGGAAAAACATGTCATTGGACAAACCTATCTTGGGATAAACAATGATAAAAAACGTCACTGCGCCGGATTTGTCTGAAATGTCTGGACAGGTTTATTTGAGAAATAGATATCGTTTGTTTATCCCAATGTCATTTGTGTCCCCCTATAGGTATCGAAATGACGTTATATGATTTGTGACGTAATAGCTAGCGTCTGTGTGTTATAAATAGAACTTAAACGCTTTGTTTATCCCCCGATCGAAAGTGAGGTTATGTGTGTGACATCAGCTAGTCCCTTAATAGAAACGCCTTATCAGGCCTGCGCTCTCCCAGAATGGATTCTCAGGTCCAAGATGGCATCGCAGTGAGAAAGCAAATACTCGACTGATTCTTCGATCCTCCTATTGGTTTCGTGCACGTGACGTCACTAAATTAACACTGGTAAGACAACCTAACCTTATCCCATTTGTTTATATGGAATTGGGGTCTCATGCTTTCTTCTTTTTTATATTTTTTCGATGTTTAGTTATATTTTTGTTTGATTTGCTGTTTAATAGTTTATAAAGACATTTATTTACGTTCATACTGGTATATTCGGCGGCATCGTTTTTACCATAGACGCTTTTACATCCTACAACGGCACAATACGAGGGTATTTTGACCCTAGTCTACATATACTATCCTAGGAAGTGAATTATATTTTAATCAGTAACAATTTTTTAAAGGATTAAGAGGGCTAGACGGCGAAATTTCAAAAATACGCAAATTTTTAGGTTATGTTACCTCCAAATACCTCTAATGTGGTCACGTGTCGAACGAAACCCATTCGCAACCCCAACAACTTCGCTTGATCCCACTGAATGGAGATATTTTCTTATCTGACAGTAGCCTGTCAGAAACCCTGTGGTAGAGCGAAGGAGCGAAGGTTTTTCCTTGACATGTCCAGGTCGGTACGTTCTTGTTGCAACTTCATAAAGGTTGCTGAGCAATTTCCTAGCTAACTGACAGAAAGTAGTCTCATCCCATCTGGACGTAAAGTACATCGCTTCATTTCGGTTTCTTGATACAGAGGGTGCTTTCTTTTATTCAGCAATGGATCCATCTGCTGCCAGCATTATGAGACAGCCATTCCGATTTTCTATGAACTAGACAAAGATGGACTGATCATTGACGGAGCCATCGCTGAATAAAAGGAAGCACCCAGACTATCAATCTGTCGTTAGTGTCGTTCAGTCTCTCTGCTTCTGCTTCCAGGTCCTTTACCTGCGCACATGTCGGTGCTTCTTCTTAAGCCCCGTACACAACACCTCCATGCACACTTAAAATACACTTGCCGTAGCAGTTTGTAACACATATAATATGTACATGCACAATTAAATTGAGGAACCCTCCACTCTAAGTTCGGCAACTTACATATTATAGTATTCAAAAATCTGTCATTTTGGCATATAATGAAAATCTCCTTTAAAAGTTAGTTTCGCTGGACTTGGGGAGTATGTTGAAAGACCACATCAGAGCTTCTTTCAGGTACAACCCTTTGAGCGCAGTACTTCGGTTACAGTTTGACCCTTTCGGTTTCAAGCGTTCGAGTGCAAAACGCGTGGAGTATTACAAGTGTGAAGTGTTCTAGGAGCTTCGCACTCTGAATGCAATTACAATTAGGGAATCCAAGCCACGTGACTTTTGCCAACCAGCCGGCATTTTGAAATTTTTATGAGGTTAGAATACGGGTTGTTACATGTCAACGATGTCAGAAAAGTCTCAGATTTGAGAACTTGCCCCGTGCTATGGTTTTTTCTTTATTGTTTGCCAACCAGACGCCATTTGAACAGGTCGTTGGATTGCTTCCAATGGATTGCCTAATAGTTAATTAGTCACTTCCTGACATCACACACATAACCTCACTGTCGATAGGGGGTCAGAAAAAGCGTTTAAGGAATATATACATAAAGGCGTTAACTATTACGTATTACGTCACAAATTACATAACGTTTGGACCTCGGTTTCCTCAGTGATTTTGGCATTGTATGTAATGAATGTAGTGAGTAGGCACAAAAATATTGAGTTTCTGATCCTAACATTCCTAACTATTTATTTTTATATAAAACTTGTGTGTGTGTTTTATGTTCTTGTTGTTTTTGCTATACCCACTTTGACAAACAGTTTGAATATTTTTTTGTTGAGTATAGTATAGTAAGTTTTAGGGGCCTTAATACAAAAAGCTTAGTTGACAAATACGCATTACCCAACATAACGGATCTCTTGAAGAAGCTGGGACGCTGTTAGCACTTTAGATTTAGCTAGCGGCTTCCACCAGATCAAGATGCATGAAAACGACATCGAAAAAACCGCATTCAGCACAGAAAACGAGCATTATGAGTTCTTGCGCATGCCCTTTGGTTTGAAGAACGCGCCGGCTACATTCCAAAGAGTTATGGATGATATTCTATATCGCAATATATTGAGCAACTTTGACACCGAAAGATGGAAAATCCTATCAATAATACGTATTCATTATACAAGGGAAAAAAGAATTGGATTTTAGAGCGAGATGTGCTTTGCCTCCCGACGCGAAGCGGAGGGAGACAACAACAAGGTGGCCAAAGAGCGCTGAGAATGCTTAGTATATAACCAAAGTTGTGGTTTCGCGGTCCGAAAGTAATCAAACTATTCGGGTTCCTGATGGGAAAAATGTTTCTTTTGGACCTCGGTTTCCTGAAATCTGGTTAACCAAATGTCAAAATAGTTACCGGCCATCGGATGTCGGTTCTGTTGGTTTTATCTGTAATTTTTGTCAATAATTTATTTCATATTCGCGTTCCCCAAGTAACCGGAATTTTCAATAACCATCTTTCAACCGATCCAGTTATTTTGGTTAACGTCTGGTTATATTCGGACCATAGCCTACTGAATGGAGATATTTTCTTATCTGACAGTGGCCTGTCAGAAACCCTGTGGTGGAGCGAAGGTGCGAATGTTTTTCCTTGACGTCCAGGTACGTTCTTGTTGCAACTTCATAAAGGTTGCTGAGCAGTTTCCTAGCTAACTGACAGAAGGTAGTCTCATCCCATCTGGACATGAAGTCTTCAAGGGTGATATTTTTGATCATTTTAAGTCAGAGTAATAAGAGATAGCTCGGAAGGAGCTGGTTGCAATATCGGGACCTGTCTGCTAAAGTCAGTTTAGGGCCGATAAGGCTTGTCTACAATCAGCGTAGATGTTGATTGTCCTGTCCTAGTTTCTGCAGACTCTTCAACGGCAATAAATATGCTGGCCAGTTCGATTTGAACTACGCTAGCATGCTTATCCATGGGCAACTTGAGTTCGAACTTCAAGCTTTGTGAATAAACTCCACTGCCGGCCCCGTAAGAAGACTTAGAGCCATCCATGAATATGTTCATTGCATCCTTGGTGCTGGGCTCATCAGAATTGGTAAGAATAGCTTAAGGTTTGTTGAAGGCAAACTTAGAACTGATAATATTCCCTCCTTAATGAGAAAGTTATGATGATAATCAAGAGACAAAATCTTAGAGATCTTTTAAGACAATTCAGAAAAACCTACAAACTTGTATTCATGATCCACTCTGTAAATATACATAAATATTGCTTAAACTAATAAAATGCATCAAACTTTGGGCCTCAAAGCGGTCGTCCTTCTGTCAACTTAATCCGCAGTTAAATAAATCGAACACATATACGCTTAAGTTTAAAAAATGTATCGAGGCCATTATAGTTAACGAGTTTAGAAAGGAAGAATATAAAAAATTTGGTGATCAAATTCACAAAACTTACCTCCTTCGTCCACGTGGGTTCCATGAATGTGATGGTGCAAGTGGGCATAATAATGGTGATGGTGCAGGATGCATTCCAAATCTGTACAGTTCAACATGATGAATGTTTTCTAAATATGTATGGCACTTTTCAAAATAAAGTATAATGACGCACTGACCAAATCTCACTAAGTTTTGTTTATCCGAATTTTTATCACACAACTTCCTTATCACTTAAAACACTTTCCACCACTTCATTACCAGTTTTGTGTGGAAACTGAGTAAAGTTATTGTGGTTGTAGTTTTTAGATTAGTTGATGGGTTTTTGATTGAACAAATCAGTCAACTGTTGAAGAATCTGAAATTTAAAGAAAATTTGATTTTAGTTTTTTAACTATCAGACAGCCAATGTTAGTTGAATATTACATTATTGTCAATTAGGGTTGCTTTAAACCATTAGTATAAAAATAGGGCCTTAGAATATGTGACAAGGGTTCAATTTATTAATTATTTTTTCCAAAAGCTTTATGATTCACCAGTAATTTTCATTTGTGAGTTCAATTCTAAAGCTAAAGGAAAACTGTAAGTCAAAGATTTTGTTTCAAATGGCGTTACAATTCATTGAAGAAACAGTTTGATTCTCTTTCAATTCATGAGAAAGTCTCAGGAGAAGAAAAGATAAATAATTTTGGTTATTTATTACAAAATGCTTATATCGTTTTTCTACATTACTAATAACCCATAAATATATGTGTAATTATACATTAAAAAAGAACCTCGCACAAATCATGTTCTTCACATTTTCAATGCCTCTTACCCAATAGATCTTCTAGTCTTATAATCATGATCGTGTATGATGAAAAAACTTATTGAATCAATCATGTGTGTCGATATCACCATTGATTTATTTATACCTGGGTAATGCACCAGCTTAGGCCAAGGTAAAATAAACATGTTGTTTTTGGGGTTTTTGGGAATTACCTCTAGTAGTCTGGATGTTTTATTTGGTAGTTTTGCAGTTGCACTATATTGAAATAACCTTGAAGAAAAACCAGATAATATTTAACGATAAACTTAATACAAATTAATTAAAGACAATTTGGTTTGTGTGGTAAACAGAAGATTTTAATGACCCTTATTTCAAGAGCTTGTCTTATCCATAAGCAAACTTGACTCACACAGGAAAAATCATGAGACAATTGAGAGCAAATTATTGATTTTTGATAAGTTCAGTTTCTGCAAATAGTGACAAAATGTTAGGTGATAGGAATGATAATGTCTTAGGAGGGACTTTTTACGTGACGTCAAATTTTAAACAAAATATTCATAATAAGTACTTATCCTCACATGAAAATTCTCAACAAATTAAATATCCCTTAGGTAACAATTTTCACGAATTCTTCAAGTTCTCAAGCACAAAAAAAAAACTCGCGTGCACTTTGGGGCAACCAAGAAGCACTTCGAAACGAACAAACTCGAGTCAATACTGAATTAGCATTTAACACAAACACAAAACGTGGATGTCTTCTTCATAGGCCAGACTACGTACTCTAGAGTTATCTTCAATAAGGGGTCATAAATGCCATCGTCGACGAGGTCGCAGAACAAGAATTTATTGTTACTGGCAAATAATTTACATAAATTGTAAGTAATTGATGGTAAGAATATTTTTGTTGAAGCAATCGTATGTGTATTATGATTATTTCAATAAGAAGTATTTGAAAGTAGGTAGATATATCAGATAACAGAGTCTAAGCCAGCTTGATGTTTGAAGGAAGAATTAGGTACCTATTTGATTTAGCTGCAATGAAACTGGGTACTGGGTATTAGTTTGTACTTTGAATACTTTCATTTGCCTGACTTGTCTACTTTGCAGTTTCTTTTGGCTGAAGACACAATGACAAATACAAGGTACAATAAGTCATAAGATACAAAATTCCAAAAATTGGAAATTTCGTATCCTGGCATGGCAAGTGAATTGTGTCCTGGATTATTGGTACACGTGTTATTATACATTTTTGTCTCTTGTCACTTGTACCTTGTATTTGTCATTATGTCTTCAGTCTTTCCACAAGAAACTCTGTTTTTCAAATAAACAAGCAAATGAAAATTTTGTCATTTTGACGTATGATTGGGAAGATATTGGATTCCCTAGAGTTTAGAATTTTGTCTCACCTCCACTGGTCTCTGACTCTCAGATCTCTAGAGTCAGTAGAGTTTCTTCTTCGTACAGAATCACTGTTCAAAAATGTATATTATAATTCAAGTTACACCTCTACGTGAAAATTGTTTCAAATTTTAAAAAAGTTAAAGTCTCCGAACTCGTTGGCTACATTACACTTGCCGTTAAATTCGCGAACTTATTATGATTGTGCCTTTAAACGGCCATTATGCAAATCCGGAGTTACCAAAAATGATGCTCCAAGGATCCAACTTATAAAAATAAATAGGTACTGAAGCTTTTTTTGTCAAATTATATAGGCACTGAATTTTACTCTCAAAGAAACAATAATCTGGATATTTTATTGAAGCAACTCACAATATCCAATCTGAAAATTTAATAATGAATTTTTAAATATCCTTGTGTCACTGCAGGACAAGATTTCAAAATTTTAGCCCACACAAAAGCACAAGTTTATTCGGTATTACTTAAGGACTTTATCGAGCCAGTTTAATTTAATTTTTGTGAGAATCTATATTACATAAAATGTCTCATTAATGTTTATAAAAGAGTTCAAATAAACTGAGAAATCGTACCTTCTTAAAACTTTTCTCTTCACCACATAAAGCCACTACACAAACCTTACACGAGCTGAACAAAACAATAGAAAATTCAAGGTTGGAAAACTATTATCAAAAACGATTCCGTAAATACCCAATTTAACTGTTGTTACACAATTAACAGTTGTGATGTATGCAACCCAATTTGGTGGAAAAAAAAACGAAATTCCTTAATATACAGTAACTTAAAATAGTGAAAAGTTATTGAAACTAGAAATAAATCAATCAATAAGGGATCAGAAAGTTGATAAGTAATAATTGGAACAACTAATGTTAAAAAATCAAGATACCCAAACACTTCAACAATGACAATAGAACCATAGAACCATCCAGCCTACTATTACTAATTTCATTAAAGCTTTGAAGCTGGATGAGGTGTTTTGACTGAGTGAGAATCCTATCAACTGAAGCACCCAGACACAATAGATCTATGCATAGGCGCCGGTACCATGGGGGCAAACGAGGCTTGAATTTGCTTATTTTGGCATTGTATGTAATGGGTGTAGTGAGTAGGTACAAAAATATTGAGTTTCTGATCCTAACATTCCTAACTATTTATTTTTATATCAAACTTGTGTGTTTTATGTTCTTGTTGTTTTTGCTATACTCACTATGACAAAGAGTTTGAATATTTATTTGTTTAGTATAGTATAGTAAGTTTTAGACGCCTTAATACAAAAAGCTTAAATGACAGATACGCATTACCCAACATAACGGATCTCTTGAAGAAGCTGGGATGCTGTCAGTATTTCACCATTTTAGATTTAGCTAGCGGCTTCCACCAGATCCAAATGCATGAAAACGACATCGAAAAAACCGCATTCAGCACAGAAAACGGGCATTATGAGATCTTGCCCATGCCTTTTGGTTTGAAGAAGGCGCCGGCTACATTCCAAAGATTTATGGATGATATTCGATATCCCAATATATTGAGCAAGTTTAACACCGAAAGATAGGATATCCCATCAATAATAGTTATTGATTATACAAGGGAAAAACGATTCCGTAAATACCCAATTTAACTGTTGTTACACAATTAACAGTTGTGATGTATGCAACCCAATTTGGTTGAAAAAAAAAAACGAAATTCCTTAATATACAGTAACTTAAAATAGTGAAAAGTTATTGAAACTAGAAATAAATCAATCAATAAGGGATCAGAAAGTTGATAAGTAATAATTGGAACAACTAATGTTAAAAAATCAAGATACCCAAACACTTCAACAATGACAATAGAACCATAGAACCATCCAGCCTACTATTACTAATTTCATTAAAGCTTTGAAGCTGGATGAGGTGTTTTGACTGAGTGAGAATCCTATCAACTGAAGCACCCAGACACAATAGATTTATGCATAGGCGCCGGTACCATGGGGGCAAACGGGGCTTGAATTTGCTATTGGGGCGGAGCCCCCATAGTTATTTTGGCATTGTATGTAATGGGTGTAGTGAGTAGGTACAAAAATATTGAGTTTCTGATCCTAACATTCCTAACTATTTATTTTTATATCAAACTTGTGTGTTAGATGTTCTTGTTGTTTTTGCTATACTCACTATGACAAAGAGTTTGAATATTTATTTGTTTAGTATAGTATAGTAAGTTTTGGACGCCTTAATACAAAAAGCTTAAATGACAGATACGCATTACCCAACATAACGGATCTCTTGAAGAAGCTGGGATGCTGTCAGTATTTCACCATTTTAGATTTAGCTAGCGGCTTCCACCAGATCCAAATGCATGAAAACGACATCGAAAAAACCGCATTCAGCACAGAAAACGGGCATTATGAGATCTTGCCCATGCCTTTTGGTTTGAAGAACGCGCCGGCTACATTCCAAAGATTTATGGATGATATTCGATATCCCAATATATTGAGCAAGTTTAACACCGAAAGATAGGATATCCCATCAACAATAGTTATTGATTATACAAGGGAAAAACGATTCCGTAAATACCCAATTTAACTGTTGTTACACAATTAACAGTTCTGATGTATGCAATCCAATTTGGTTGAAAAAAAAAAAAAAAAAAAAAAACCTCAATATACAGTAACTTAAACTAGTGAGAAGTCACTGAATCAACAACAAATCAATCCATAAGGGATAATAAAGTTGATTAGTGATAATTGGAACAGCTAATGTTGAAAAAATCAAGGTACCTAGACACTTCAACAATGACCATAGAACCATAGAACCATCCAGCCTACTATTACTACTTTCATTGAAGTTTTGAAGCTGGATGAGATGTTTCGACTGAGTGAGAATCCTATAAACAACCACCCAGACACAATGGATCTATGCATAGGCGCCGGAACTACGGGGGCAATGGGGGCTTGAGCCCCCGTAATAAATTTGCTATGGGGGCTTCGCCCCCATAGTGATTTTGGAATTGTATGTAATGGGTGTAGTGAGTGGGTACAAAAATATTGAGTTTCTGATCCTAACATTCCTAACTATTTATTTTTATATCAAATTTGTGTGTTTTATGTTCTTGTTGTTTTTGCTATACCCACTTTGAAGTTTTAGTGGTCTTAATACAAAAAGCTTAAATGACAGATACGCATTACCCAACATAACGGATATCATGAAGAAGCTGGGACGCTGCCAGTATTTCACCACCTTAGATTTACCTAACGGCTTCCACCAGCTCCAAATGCATGAAAACGACATCGAAAAAACCGCATTCAGCACAGAACACGGGCATTATGAGTTCTTGCGCATGCCCTTTGGTTTGAAGAACGCGCCGGCTACATTCAAAAAGGTTATGGATTCTAAAAATTTAGCGGCTGCGGCGCTTTTTTTCCTGCAGCGCTTGCGGTGAAGTTGCCACTGCTGTAAGGATCACTTCCTGCAAATTAGCCCCTCCCCCCGCAAGACCATATCCTAACTACGCCAATGGTGCTGCCGAAGCCGAGTATAGCCGAGCTGCCGAAGATGCACGAATTTCAATAATATGAAGAAACCTGCGGGGACGATCAATGATCCAGAGTGGCGATCCTGCAGTGAAATGGGTTTTTTCAACTGCTCCCATTTAAGTCTATGTGTCTAGTAGCCTAATCCTGTCTGTCTAATTGATTCTACTTATGTTAATTTTTGGAACCCAAGCCCCCATGGTAATTTTGAAATTTCGGCGCCTATGGATCTATGCAGGTCGTAGTGTAACAATATCAAAATCTAAGGTGATAACAAGTCACGCCAAAGAAGAAAGAAGAATCACCATTGAAAATTTCTCAGCTTAAAGTACATGTTTCGTACATCTAACAAATAGTTAAAGCAGATAAAATTTCTTCCTGTAGCTCTTTGACAAAAATTAAGTTTCTCCACTCAGTAATATATCACTGTTAACTGATGATTATCCACTTCAGGCTAAAGAAAAACAAAATTCCGATAACCCCCAGTAATTTCCAACTAAATTATTTGACAGCGAGTACGTTTTTAGCATAATATATGGTACTTACTTCATACATTTTGGTTTTTTACAGTTTAGTTATCTACGGAATGTAGCGGTACAAACAAATTAAATAGTACCGATGAGACATAAATTGCGCCAATTCGACTACACAATTATGAAATTTCCATTGAAAAGGAAGTGCTACAATTGCAACTACAATCCAACCTTGACAATAAAATTATAAGACAATCAAAGGTCAACCGCTTACAGATTTACTTAAGAAGGTTAACCGATAAATAAAAAAAATTGCTGAAACTTCCCTTGATGGCGTAACGATTCAAATTTGCCATACACCTATAGGTGATTTTTATTGCGGAATCATTCTGTATAAAACAAAATTCGAAAATTTGGTGGTACCCTTCTCTGCATATCAAGTTAAGATTTACGTAACATAATTTATTTCCAAATTTTATTCAAATTTAAATTAAAGAAAGTGCCATGAGTAGGTACTACCAGTTGAAAACTAAATTATTAGTAAAATTCTTGGTACTGCTTGATACTCAAGACAAATTAAATAGCTCAATCAATCAACATAATGATAATTTATATTTTATTTATCCAAGGTTCCCTTGTTCCGATGGCAAAATTTATAGCCGTCACAAATAATGCAGTGCTAGGGTACTTACTGCTAAACGAATACCATAATCCTATTGTTCGGTTTAGTAATTCAATTCTGGTAGTACATAAATGTCACTTTATATAAATAAACGCTGATCCATTGAACACATTAATATTTCACTGAAGTACCTATATACCGGAGGGAAAGAAAAACAAATCGAACGCGCTCGCGAAGTACCGATAAGTACCGACACAAAAATAAGTATTTTTTCAAATGAAATATTAATAATTACCTCTAACACACGCAAATGGGCAACCAATTTAAAAATAAATACCTTAAAAAGTAAAAATAAAAAAAAAGTCACAATAAATAAAATAAAACAAACAAAAGTCCGTATAGTAAATAGTCGGTGGTTGAAATTCAAAAAAAAAAAAAGAAATCGGTACTGCTTGGTACGTGAAATAACGGTCAACTGAAAATGAGAATGGTATAGAGTTGGTATATGTGGTCGCGTGCGGCTCGAAAAAGAAGGTATGAAAGAATTCTTGGGTGTCAGTCAGTCTATGGGTACTACTTTCTAATCAATCGAATGCTTCAATGAAAGATGGTCGATAGTACTCTGGGAGCTGGGGATGGTATCATTCATTACAACCTTGATCTCAGATCTTAGAGCTCAAAATTCATTGATTTTAATTTGACTTAACTTTTTCCACTAACTTATTTCTTTGAAATAGGGTGCATTGCCTATCTTAGATTATAATATCCGAATTGACGTTAAGGAATGGATATTTCAAAATTGCTCTTCCTACAATAAGGATAGCGAAATCACAAGCAATCGGTTGATATCTCAGGTGAAAAATTAAGCCAAATTCACTAGAAAAATGAAATAACATTGTTTAATACATACTTTCCTTTTAGTCATTAAGTGTAATATATTTCCTGATGATTGTATAATAAATATCGGAAAAATATTATACCAGCAGATTTACAGACGATATCTTCATTTCCTCTTATTGATCATAATCTGATGCCGTTGTTGATCATATGGTTAATCAAATCAGATAATTATACTTTCACTCACCAAATTGTACCTATACACCACCCAACCCTTAGAACCATTTTTTCTAAAAATTCACACTGTACCTACTGAGGCATAACACTCGACTGAACTTTGTCGAAATCCTATTGTTATAACAATTCGATTACAAAAAAGGTTTTTATAGTTTATTTATGATTTTCGAATGGACAATTTTAATGGGATAAAGGATGAGCAATTTACGTTTTTAAATCGGTTACACTTTATCAAGTATATGTGTATACAATACAAAAAAATCTTTTGTTGTGTAAGACATTTGAATCATAATTTTTATGCAAAATATCATTCTGGAATGAACATGCTTGGTGCTACGCTCTCTAATAAAATTTACATTTTTAATTTAAATAATCGTTAATCATATTATCTACAGACACTTACCTACCTACTTACACCAACATGTGCGCTAGAATTTTATTAGTTGTTTATACGATTAAAAAATTGCGATTATCTTCCATGGGTAATTTTGGTTTGTTGGTCAGTCAGATATGGTAAGAAAGTCCAAACGAATAATCACCAAAGGTTTCTCTGAAGAGCTGAGCATAGAGTAAACTGCAGGAGGAAATGAATAAGCAAATCAGTTTCAGTAGTTTGAAGCTCGCGTAAGTCAGTTAAGTCAGGTTAACAAGGTCCAAGTGTACTTGAATCAAGGACCCTTGGAGGCTGCGCGCGCCTCACTTCGTATCAACTGTTTATCCAAGCCCAGTTGTATAGATTCTAAGGGCCTCATTCACGTTGAGATCGGTGTCGATACATGTTTCGCGACAGGCAACATGTATTTGAGATGTGTATCCATGTTTCAACTGCTCCTACACGTTGAGATGAGCTCAGGAAACATCAGTTCAATCCACATTTGACATACATAATACAGTAATAAAGTTTTTTTCCGGGCTATAATAAATAATCTTCAGAGGCGGTGTGGTAGAGGACGAAGTGTTCTTTTCTGTGTTCTTCTGTTGACTGAATTCGACGTTGTTGGATCTGTGTTAGTTATATCCAGGGTTGTGAGCGTGGCTTGATTTACGCTATTTTTATTGTCTCGTTCTCGGAAAGGAACGGTCTTTGTTTTTCGGAGAACTGGCAACCAGCTTTTCTTGAGGTTCATAACCTCTTCTTTTCTGTTAAAGTTGTTGTGATGTTTCTGTATCTCTATGGCTTCTCTATGGTGTAAACATGTTTGGTTCTATCCTATCTAATGCTTGAGTCTGATCGAAACGAATAACATGGTTTGTTTGTGTTAGCATGTGTTCGGCGATTGCTGATGTATCTATTTGTCCCTGCTGCCAGTTTCTTTTGTGCTCTTTGATCCTGGTGTTGATAGAGCATTTGGTTGTTCCTACATAGACAGGTCAACAAGAGCAAAGAATTCTATAGACGCCAGTCATTTCAAGAGGTGCCCTAGGACCCTTGGCCGATCTTAGACTTTGCTGAATTGTTCTTGTGGGCTTGTAGATAGACTTAATGTTGTGTCTTTCTAGCGTTCGTCCTATGCGATCTGTGACATTTTTGATGTATGGAAGAAAAGTTCTCCCTGTCACCTGTGCTGGTTCCTTGTTAGTTGTGCGCTGTTGCTTTGGTCTTATATCTCCTGCTTGGAGTACCCATTTCCTTCAAGTGTTGATTTTAGGTGTTGCATCCCGTCCTGGAGGTATCTGGCTTCACAAATCCGGATTACCCTGTCAGATAGAGTTTTAAAGACTCCTCTCTTTTGCCTAGGATGGTGATTGGATTCCTTGTTGAGGTATCTGTCCGTATGCGTCGGCTACCTATATACTCTGTGTCCCAGTTTACCTGCGGGTAATCTTTCCAAGAGGATGTCAAGGAATGCAATTTTGTTGTCCTTCTCAACTTCCATCGTAAACTGTATTCTGGGTTCTATTGAGTTTAGATGATTAAAGAAGTTTTCGAGATCTGCCTCTTCATGGTTCCAAACAACAAATATGTCATCTACATAGCGGAAGCAACAAGTAGATTTCTTTTTGGTCGTTCGCAAAGCCATTTGTCCGAAGTGTTCCATGTAGAAGTTGGCGATAACCGGGCTGTGTGGCCTCATTGCGATTCCATCTGTCTGCTCAAAGAATTCATTTCGCCACTGAAAGTACATAGTCGTCAGACAGTGGTGAAATAAGTTGTTGATTTCCTCCGGATTTTTTTTTTTTCAAATACTCCATAGGCCTGATTCACTGGTAACTTGGTAAACAATGAGACGACATCAAAACTAACCAGAATGTCGTTTGGTAGTAGAGTGATGTCACTGATCTTTCTGATGAAATGAGTTGAGTCTTTAACGTAAGAGCTGGTTGCCAGTTCTCGAAAAACAAGGACCCTTCTTTTCCGAGAACGAGACAAGAAAAATAGCGTAATACAAGCCACGCCAACAACCCTGATTATAAATAACGCAGCTCCAACAACGTCGAATCCATTCATCGGAGGAACACGGAAGAGAACACTTCGTCCTCTACCACACCGCCTCTGAAGATGTCTACCGCAGCAGTAGACGAAACATAGGTAGAAATACTAACGGACCACGGCATTATAGAGCCCGGAAAAAAACTTTTTCACTAGATTTGACCGGCCGTGAAATCCTTCATTCTTTAATTTTAAATTATTTGTGGATTGTTCATAGAATTTCTGGTAACCATCTTTGTCTTCAGTCAATTCCTCAAACAGTTCCATACATTTCTTCACTAAGTTTTTGAAACATGTTATGAAGTAAGTCTTCAGAATCAACCACACCCTTGATGAAATTCAAATGTTCTGGGATAAGTTCTTCGCAATTGTCCATGATGAATATACGTAGGACATATAATTTATTGTTTTTCTTGCGTTTCTTCTTTTCGGTTAAATCGAATGGCACCCGATGTGGGACAAACAATAGAGCCCTAATTTACAATTGAACTTCAATACTGAAGTGTTTCACTGCAAAATGGTCTTCCCAGTCATTGGTGACGGATTTGTAAAATGCACCATATTCTTCGTGGTTAATATCATCTGGTTTTGTTCAGTTCTTCTTCATCTTCAATATATTTTCCTTTGATAGTTTTCTTCTGCCTTTTTGTCTTCATCGTCGCCGACATCCTCAATTTTTGGTTTATCTCTGTCTTCCTCGTCGTCCTCTTTCCTTGCATTTTTAGATTCACTTAGCTCGTTTTTACGTTCCTTTTCTACAAGTATTTTAATTGGATAACGATAAATCGAGAGTGTTTAGAGTGGGAAAACGTAATGTAAGGACAGATAGGAGACACCACAATAAATATGACAAGATTGTAGTGGCAAAAGATACCTCTGCATAATCTCCATTCAAACACATCTAATATAATCTACCATTAAGTGAAGTTCGTGTCCTATCGGTATCCAATGAAGGGGGTGATTCGCCGGTTAGAACAAGAAACTGGCTGATTTACCTTAGCACAACAACAATACCACCTTCCAGTATGGAATTACTAGCCTTGGGACCATCATTTGCTTTGCCCTATAACACAATTCCAGCTCATCAAGGATACTGAATATTGTATTGAGAACCTACCAGAAGACACAGATAAGGGCTGTATTAGAGCAACCTGCACCAATATCATCACGAATCACTACAATATAAAACACGGAAAAAGATATGACCAACGCGATAAAGACTATTATCAAACCAAGAAATTCCTCAAAAATAATCCTAACTTGATAGTGACTCGTAAGGATAAGGGTAATTGCACTGTTGTGATGGAAAGACAAGACTATGAGTGTAAAACTATTGTTGGATTACAATCCCACAAACCTTTTCGAAAATAAGTCAAATAAATTGTTTAAAGTATCATGTAATGAACTTGACAAAGATTCAGTAAAAAAGTTCATAAGCTATAATTCTATTTCGCCAAAAATCTATGGACTATCCAAGGTCCACAAGCCAAACACACCCTTTAGACCAAGTTGTCTCGTGTGCGTAATGTCACACACCTACAAAATCTCCAGTTTCGTAGCCAAAATTTTGAATAACTTAATTCCAACTTTTCAATACGTGGTGAATAACTCCTTCAAGTTTGTGGAGAAACTTAGAACTCACACAATTCCAGCTGGATACATTCTTGTTTCTTCTCGATGTCACCTCATTATTCACAAATATTCCCAAAGATTTAGTACTTAGTCTAATAGAGAAACATTGGGAAAATATTTAGACATTCACTTCTATGGAACTTGCGGTTTTTGTCGAATCGATCGCCTTCAAATTATTTCTCCTATAACAACAAATTTTTCAAAACAGATTTTTGGTACGTCAATGGGTAACCCGGCTTCACCTATTTTGGCTAACATGATTATGAACGAGCTCCTCATAAGTGTCATCTCCAAATTACCCTTTCAACTTTCCTTCTTATATTTATGTAGATGATATTGTAGTATAACATACCCCGGGTTCGCTCAGTAAGATTGAACGATGAGAATTTTTATTACCTTTTAAACAACAAATCTTCTGAAAAATGAAATGAAAAACAAATAGGACCTACGTTGTGGAAACTTACTCAATTTTACTTACTGGACATGCGCCCGACATAGCAAATATTTGGGAAATTTAAGGGAAGTTGTGATAAAATGTGAAAAAAATGAAAAATTTGTGAAACGTCTACTTTATTAT